ACAGAGCTGTAGTGACGACTAGAACCTACCTTGTCGTGGTAGTGCAACGCTCGACAATACAGCACGGCCATTTTAATGCCCAGTGAGATTATCCCACCCGACGCGCTCTTTCGAACCAGATATGTACAGTACGCTTCCACCTTGTCGAATTCACTACAGCACATGTTATACATGCCCGATGGGGACCCGCTTTGTAGCCATATATTCCCGTACCACAAGGTCAGGAGCAGCGTGACTTTCTGTAGACGGAGCTCCTGGCTGCCTATGGCGAATGCCATCGCGTCCTCGGTCGCGCGAAGGGCCCCCTTGTTGTCGTTGGCGACGGTGCAACGATTGATTTCCCGAAGGAGCGACTCGAGCGACTCGACGGCGAGGAGCCCTTCGTGCAACTGCGCACGGTAATCGTCCAGCCGCGGGTACAGGCGGCGGTTCAGCCCGCGCAGTATCAGGTCCACGTGCCGGTACGCCTCCTTGGCGTCGTCAGCCTTGCCCAAGAGAAGGCAGCATTTGGCCACACGTAAATGCGCCTGCACCCACCAGTTAGAACACCATGTCATAAATACACATTTCAGTTGGACGTACGCGAAGGAATGTGCGGTCGAGTTCGACGGCCGCGATGCCATCCTGCAGTGCTTCTTGAAATTTGCCCACCATCACCAGCGCAGCCGCGCGATTCACAAGCAGTTTGGCTTTTTCCGACTGAAGCGCCGGTCCACACAACCCCCTTTCAAGCTCCTCACCCAGTATGTCCAGTGCAGACGTGAACCGCTCGATACACTGCGCGAATTCGCCATCCGTGAAGGCTTCGCACCCTTGTTTGCAGAACCCAAACCACTTTGGGGGAGATGGGGGCGGCGGTGGGGGTGGGCTTGCTGCCGCCGGCCGCAGACTGTCGTCTTTCGGGCAGTCATGCATCTTGAGCTCAAAGGATTTTGAGGGGGATGGAGGCGGCGGTGGGGGTGGACTGCCTGCTGCTGGCTGCAGACTGTCATCTTTCGGGCAGTCAGGCAGAGGAACGCTAAACGAAATAGGTTTGCTGGTTCTGTTCGATACATGTGAGGTGTCTCGTACGAATGAAAAGATACACATACCCATGGGTCGCTCGAGTTGAAGCGGGGATTTTGTGATCCGCACCCGGAGGACGTTGCTCCTTTCGAATTGGGCGGCGGACTGCTATGGGTATTTTGCTGCGGCCACTGGCAGTGCCCACTGACGGTTCCCCACCCGACGCGCCTTTTTGATCTAGCCGTCTACGGCAGTCCTCCGCCTTGTCGGATTCACTACAAC